AAAAAAATCTGGGTGTAGTGGCACTTGCCTGTAGTCTCAGCTACTCTGCAGGCTGAGGAAGGAGAACCACTTGAACCCAGGAAGCAGAGGTTGCGGTGAGCCAAGACCATGGCCACTGCACTCCAGCTTCAGCGACTGAGTGAGACTCTGTCTCAAAAAACAAAAACAACCCAAAAACTTACAACAAAGCTACAGTAATCAAGACAGTGTAATACCAGCATAAGGACAGACATATTGGCTAATACATTTGTGGCCAACTGATTTTTCAATAAGGATAAAAACATTCAAGGGGGGAAATAATTTTCAATAAATGATGTTGGAACAACTGGATATCCATATGCAAAGGAATGAATTTTGACCCCTCCCTAGTGCCACATTCAAAAATCAATCAAAATGGAATAAAGACCCAAATATAAGAGCTACAACTATAAAAGTCTTAGTAGGAAACCTAAGTGTGAATTTCATAACCTTGGATTTGGCAATAGTTTCTTAGGACACCAGAAACACATGCAACTAAAGGAAACAATAGATAAGTTGAAATTCATTAAAATTAAAACAAAAACTTTTGTGCCTCAAACAATACCACTGGGAAAGTGAAAAGACAACCTACAGAATGTGGGAAGATATCTGCACATCACATATCCTATAAGGATCTAGTATTCGAAATATATAAAAAAATTTTACAGCCAGGCACGGTGGCTCACACCTGTAATCCTAGCACTTTGGGAGTCTGAGGGGGGGTGGATCACCTGAGGTCAGGAGTTCAAGACCAGCCTGGCCATCATGGTGAAACCCTGTCTTTAAAAAAAAAAATAAATAAACTGTTACAACTCAGCCATAAAAAGACAATCCGATTTAAAAAAATGAGCAAAAGATCTTAACAGACATTTCTCCAAATAAGATGTACAATAAACACATGAAAAGATGCTCAGCATCATTAGTCATCAAGAAATTTAAATCAAGACTATAATAAGATACCATTTAACACTCACTAGGATGGTTATAATAATGATAAAAAAAGGGAGCTCTTTCCTTTCGCTGCTGCGGCCGCAGCCATGAGTATGCTCAAGCTTCAGAAGAGGCTCGCCTCTAGTGTCCTCCGCTGCGGCAAGAAGAAGGTCTGGTTGGACCCCAATGAGACCAATGAAATCGCCAATGCCAACTCCGGTCAGCAGATCCGGAAGCTGATCAAAGATGGGCTGATCATCCTTAAGCCTGCGATGGTCTATTCCGGTCTTGATTCCGGGAAAACACCTTGGCGGGAAGGGCAGGCTCATCAGGATAGGTAAGCAAGAGGGTACAGTCAATGCCTGAGTTCCAGAGAAGGTCAAGTGGATGGGGAGAATGAGGATTCTGCACCGGCTGCTCAGAAGATACCGGGAATCTAAGATTGATGGCCCCATGTATAACAGCTTATACCTGAAGGTGAAGGGGAATGTGTTCAAAAACAAGCGGATTCTCATGGAACACAGCTGCAAGCTGAAGGCAGACAAGGCCCGCAAGAAGCTCTTGGCTGACCAGACTGAGGCCCTCAGGTTCAAGACCAGGGAAGTAGCAAGCGCCATAAAGAGCGCCTCCAGGCCAAGGAGGAAGGAGATCATCCAGACTGTTCAAGGAGGAAGAGACCAAGAAATAAAAGCTCCTTCTTTGTCTGTACATACTGACCTTCGTGATTACACAGATCAGCCATTAAATTAACACAAGGCTTTATCTGCTTGACAAAAAAAAAGAAAAAAATAGAAAAATAACTAATATCGGTGAGAACGTAGAGAAATTAGAGTCCTGGTACATTGCAGTTGGGAATATAACATGGTGCAGTCACTATGGAAAACAGCTTGGAGATTTCTCAAGAAGTTGAACACAGAATTACCATATGACTCAGTTCCACTCCTAGGTATATACCCAAAATAATTGAAAACAGGTATTCAAACAAATACTTGTACAGCAATATTCATGTACATAATTCTTAGTAGCCAAGAAGTGAAAACAACCCAAATGTCCATCAAGTAATGACTGGATAAAATGTGGTATATCCATATGAAGAAATATTGTTCAGCCATAATAAGGAAGATGGAGTCTTGCTCTGTCACCCAGGCTGGAGTGCAGTGGTGTGATCTCGGCTCACTGCAACCTCCACTTCCTGGGTTTCAAGCAATTCTGCTGCCTCAGCCTCCCATGTGGCTGAGAATACAGGCATCTGCCACCATGCCCAGCTAATTTTTGTGTTTTTAGTAGAGACAAGCTTTCACCATATCGGCCAGGCTGGACCTCATGTGATCCACCTGCCTCGGCTTCTCAGAGAGCTGGGATTACAGGCGTGAGCCACCATGCCTGGCCTAAAAATTGTACATTTTAAATGAGTGACTTTTATGGAATGTGAATTATATATGTTGTCTGTAAAAAAATGATGGAGACCTGACTCTAGTGTGAGGCTGTGGGGAGAGTAGATCTACAGTGGAGACACCTCTTTCGGGAGGTATGATCATGAAGGGGAGGGAAGAGAGAGAGGGAGAGGAAGTGTGGTATGGGGTGAGGAGCAGAAGCAGGGTGGCTTGTTTGCTTGTTGTTTTTTGTGTTTGTTTCTAAGAAAGGATCTTGCTGTCACTCAGGCTGGAGTGCAGTGGCACAATCACAGCTTACTGCAGCCTCAACCTCCTGGGCTCAGGAGATCCTTCCACCTCAGCCTCCTGAGTAGCTGGAGGCACTACAGGCAGGAACCAGCATGCCTGGATAATTTTTAACTTTTTTTTTTTGTAGAGATGGGGATCTTATTATGTTGCCCAGGCTGGTCTTGAACTCCTAGGCTCAAACGGTCCTCCCGTCTTGGCCTCCCAAAGTGCTGGGGTTACCAGCCAGTTTTTGTTTCCAAATGGATGAGACTTTAGGAGTTGTGATCAGCGAGGACGTTACCTGTACATTGCCAGGCCAGGCCTCTTCCTTGAGCTCCAGACCCAGAGATCCAATAGCCTCTTTGACATACCACCTGAATGGCCCATTGACACCTCTAACTTCACGTCTTTAAACCTAATATCATCATCTTCATCTTTTCCCAAGTTTTTTCTTCATCCCAGCCTGGCTCTTCCTTTTCTCACACTTCAGAGTCAGTTCCCAAATCCTGCCAATTGTATTTCCTAAAATATCTTGCATCTACCCCTCACGTTCATGCTGTCAGTGTAGGTGAATCTCCCATCTGTAAATTCTCTCATGCTTTCTAATTAATTTATTATTTTCTTTTTCATTTCTCCTTCTCCTCTTCCTCCTCCTCCTTCTCCTCCTCCTCCTTCTCCTCCTCCTCCTTCTCCTCCCCCTTCTCCTCCT